GTCCAAGACATTGATGAACGGGCCTCCAAGCACCCATCAAGCTGCATCCAGTCACAACAGGAAGGGGAAGCGGCTTGTGGTTGTGAGTTCCTACCAGGAGGGACAGCCTGGCCCCCGCCTCACGCACAGCTGCAGGAGCGCCAGCCAAGCTGCACTCCCTGCTCCCAGCCTGGAATTCGGAGGATATCAAGGCCAATTTCCCATCAGACCCCATGCCAGGTGGCAGTCAGACCCTCTCTAGCCCAAGCTCTGCCAGCAGTCTTCTGCTGGGGACAGAAAATAAAAGGTACTGTTCAGATTATGCCTTTGTACAGCAGCCTTTGAGATACAAGAAGTTCGGTTTAAATGTAGGTGTTACCCAAAAACTGGTGTGCTGTGATTCAATGGGCTTGGCACATGTGTGGCTCCAGCAGAAAAGCTCAACCAGTCTTATCTAGCATAGGAACTTGCAGAGTCCCACTGTGGAGGGCATTTCTCCACTTCAGCTGAACTTCGGCTCCAGCACTTGGAATAAGGCTGCCTCTACAAGAAGTGTTGCAGAGGGCTCATTACTGCCCTTCTCAGTAGGGGGACAAAGCCATCTGAGCAGGAGCAAGGCTCCAAGGACAAAACAATCATCCTTTTTGTTGTAAGCCTAGCAAAGCAGCTGGGGAGAGAGTGGGAGGAGAGGGAACAACTCCTACCCAGTCTGCAGGGCTCCTCCAGCAACGCTGGGAGGTCCTGCACCCAGCGCATGGCTGGATCTGAGAAGTCATGTTATTCAGCCTGACCTTGTCAATGGCAAAAGCCAGAGTGAGATTGAAAGGGGAGAACAAGTTTGGAGTGATGAGAAGGGAAGGGGAAAAAGGAGTTCCATCCATCAGCAGGTTGCTATTTACAATGGAAAGAAGAGGTAGGACATAGGGGCTAGGTTGGAAATCCTGTTTCATAAACAAGACTATCCAGGATAAAGCCTGTCCAGGAAACATGCCTGAGGGACACAGGGGGCTCAGCTGGATTCTCTACTGCTGACAGCCATCCTCCCATCATGAGCCCTGCCAGCCTTGTACTCCTCCCACGTCAGGCTGGGGAAATAGTTGCAATTCCAGCAATCCATAAAGAAAGAGGTGACTTGATGCATGCAAAGCAAGCAGAACAATTCCCATTTATTTTGGGGATAAGAGGCTGTTGTTCTGCAGCTGGGTGCTGTAATGTCCGACCCATGGATAAAAGAGCAAATGCTTTCCTTGGAGACCACTGGTGCTATCGAGCTGGGATGTCCTGTCTGCTCTCCACCCCTCCTTGGAGGCTCCCAGCAGCAGCCTCTCTGTGTACAAAGCCAGGCTGGATGCCTCCCTGCAGCTGTTCTGAGAAGGCTGGTCCCAAGCTGGAGCCCAGAGGAGCATCTTTTGTACAGGAAGGCACATGGCTCACATTGGTATGAGCGTGAGACTGTGCAAGGGAGATTATGGCCACTGGCATCCCAGCCCTGCTGCTGCACATGGGCAGCTGCATAGCCCTGGGCCAGCATTCCTGGTAGGACAGGGCAGGGACAGAAGGGATGGCATGCAGTTCCCCACAAGAATTACAAAAACAAGCCTTCTTCAGCAATTTTTCACTGCAGAGCCGACTTCATCCACATCCATCCAAGCTGACTGCCAAATTTCCTGAAGCCTACATTGTCCACCCCCAGCAGAGATGGGACTGGGGCCAGGACCCCGGCAGATGAAGGTACAGTTTGAGCTTTCCTAGCGAGCTGTCCGTGCAGCACACTGCATAACCCCTCCAAACATCTGGCACATAGGCATGGGCAGCTCCCCACTGCTGAACGGGATATTTTGGGATCTAGGTCAGGAGAATTATTTCCAGCACTTGCAGCTGGAAACAGACCCAGAAAATGTGAAAACAAACTTGGTTGGAGGCAATTTGGTAGCCATCTGCAATGCTCTATCACTGCCTACTTCACAATGGGAAGAGAAATGAATTGTTTTCAGACCTGTTGATTGCATGGGTTTGCCTGCACTAATTAATTACTCTTGTAGGTATGGGTGGCATTAAGAAGTTATATTCCATCAACCTTGATGTCACAGCATTAGTCATGGCAGTTGGCAGTTCTACCTCCCTTCCACCCCATACTATTTCCAATGCCTAATAGAAACTCTCCTTAACCCCTGAATAGCTGCTGGGAAATGCTCTGCAAACCCCCCACATCCCAAAGTGCAGCACAAGCAAAGGAGCAGCACCCAGAGCTACATGCAAGCCTGGCTGCCCTTCCTGGCTGTGCAACCCTCTGCAAGTTCAGCTCAGCTCAGCTCTGCCAGTAATGAATTTACACTGCTGGCACTTTCCAGTTTGGATTTTTCACCTTCGTAGCATTACCCAGGTCTGGGCACACCCTTTAGCTCTACAGTTAGATCTTACATGCCATACGTTTTAGCAGCAAGTGACCCAAAGCTCTGCCCCCACGTGCACTGGATGTCTCCCACAGTGTGTGACTGGGGCATGGGACGCAGGACATGGGGAACTTGCAAAGTGCTGCAGCTATTTTGCACCAAGTTGCCTTGAAATAAGCGTGTTGGCCATCTCCCTGACTCACTCTTTCAGCTTTTTCAAACAAACACGCCTCCTCTTCTACCTCACAACCTGCTCAAGGGCCAGCCTTCCTCACAGAGTGTCTCACCCCCATCTGTTTCAGAAGATGCGTGAAGCAGCACCAAATACCTCCAAGTAATGCATTTATCCTGAGCTGAGATATGTGACTGCTCATCTTTCTTCCCATCAGGAGAGGAAAGAGGAATCAAAGAGGCATTGCTCAGGCTGGGGAGGAGCTGAAGCCCACTGCAGGGTTTTCAAACAGGTCATCCTTGTGGAAATCTGCCACTCTGTAAGCACTTGTAAGTCAAATCCTGGTTGCTACCGACAACACAAAACTTGGCCATTCCAGCTGTTGCTCTCCTTCCCAGCTGCAGCACTGAGCTGAAAAAGCAGTGAGGCAATACTCACCATCTCCACAGCCATTTTCCAGCCTTAGTGCTTGAAAAATGAGGACAGCCAAAGCTGCCCATTGAAAAATGGGATCGAGGCCGAACGAAGGGCAGGAGCCAGCATTCCAGGCAGATGTGGCCTCAGGTGCTGTTGCTGTGCTGCTGCAGGCATGTGGTTCCCCAGTTGCACACCCTGTTGTGTGCCCGTTGTGCAGACCCTACCCCATGTGTCCATGCTGCCTCCAGGCACGTGCCAGGGACATTGCTGCTCTGCTGCTTTCCCTGCAGAAGGCAGTCAGAGCATCCCTGCAGGGCAGCTGTCTCCTCTCTCCTCCCTGTGTGGGCTTCTTAGAGATGAAGATGGTGCATGGAACACGAAGAGCAGTGCTATAGGTGATAATGCATCTTGGATAACCCAGCAAAACTGTTATCTTTTCCTCACCATGTTACAGCTCTGATCCTAACTGGAATCAAACCTTTTCCAGGGTTTTAGATCGTAAAGAATTTGGTTTGGTAGGAAGCAAAGCAGCAGGCTGGATGGATTGCTTCTCTGTAAACCTGAAATGAAAACTTCTGTGGGCTGTGGACCAACAGGTCTCCTCTCCATGCTCCTATGAATTTTCAGACCTCTAAGCATCTGTAGCACAGCTGAGACCAGAAAGCAAATGCAGAAATGCAAGGCTCGGTGCAGGAGATAAGAACGCTCACACAGGAGATAAGGTGCTGCGAGTGGAAGGATTGTTTACTTCTCAGTGGCAGCAGACAGAGCTTTGGGGGTGAGCCAGGAAGGCGATGGAAAGGGATCCAGAGGGCTGAAAAGAGGTTTCTGCACGGAAGGGCTGGAAGCCAGCATGGGGCCAAGGTAACTACAGCGAAAATAGAAACCAAAAGGCCATTAAAGCTGAACAAATTAAAAGATGCAAGGTAGCAGAAAGTCAGAGCAGCAAAGGAGGCAGGTGGATCAGCCATCAGAGGAGGCTCTTCATCTGTCCCCATAAGGCAGGCAGACCCCAGCCCTCCTCCCAACTTGTGCCAAAGCAGCCTGGGTGCGTGAGCAGCCGAAACGCAGCACAGATTTGTGGCCTTCAGCAGCAAGAGGTTTGTGTCTGGGAGGAAGTCTGCTCCCCTGACTGCTATTTTTACCCCTGCTCATCTGGATAGGGGTCAGGGCTTGGTTTCCTCAGCTCTCAACTGCGTGCTTGGGAGACAAGGAGTGCAGGCACGATCGAAACTGGCGGCTGCTGAAAGCAGAGCGATGAACCAGACAGTGCTACCTCTTCCTGCCTCCCAGCCTGCCTCTTTATGTGTTGTTTGGTTTTTTTTTATTCTTTGCTTCTTATCTCTCCTTGTGTGTTCTATGTAAGCTATTGAAAAGCAAGTCCAGCCCTTCACATCCTGCCTGCTCCGTCCAAGGGGGCAAAGCACATCGGGCTCTCTGGTGTGACCCAGTGGTGCCTCCCAGTGCTTTGCTGAGCATCCCTCCGCAAGCACAGGGACACACACTGCAGCCAATTGTGTCCCCATGCTTCATTCTGCAAACACAGGTCTCCCTTCCCACCCGCTCCTTCAGCCCCTAGCTTTGCCAGCCCTGTCTCCTTGCGGTTTTCACTGTGTCTTATCTACTAGCATCCTCCCAGGGCAAGTTCTCACACCTTTACAGCCACTGGAGACAGACACGGGGGGTGCTGGGGGAGCTGTTATCTGGGTATCTATTGGCACCGACAATCCCTGCAGCTGCCAGCCCGTGCAGATGGGCAGAGCAGTCACTAACATGTTGGTGGGATTGCAACACTCCCCAGAGGCTCTAACATACGTAGCTGCCTGCTTGGTGCCACACAGATAAAAATGTGATGACAAAAGGGCAATTTTAGCGCATTGTTGGAATATTAAACCTACTGATGAGGATGAGCTGGAGCAGATCTGTGCTTCCAGGTGAGAAGGAGGAATAACCTGTGCTCAGCACCACTTCTGCTGTTATGGGGTCACAGAGGCAGCACCTGTGCATGGCTTGCTGCGTGGCTGGGCACCTCCTGCAGCTCCTGAAGGGTGGAGAATGCAGGGAATGAGCTCAGCAAGCACTTTTAGGGTCAGAGCCCTGGTGGCATGCTGAGCCCAGGCTTGGACTGAGGCCATGTGAGAACTTTGCAGGCTCACAATCAGGATGCAGAGCATCACCGAGTCCATCTGCATTACCTTCCACGTGCTTTGGGTGCAGCAAACCCAACAGACACATCCCCAGGCTCCAGTTTTCCTGCTTTCCTGCAGAACCCTTTACAAAGCTCCCCCTGGCACTGCCTGGGGAGCTGCAGAACAAGTCTGCGTTGTTTCTGGCTGCCTGAGCTGGGGGGAGGACAAGGCATGGGGGGAGAAAAAAACACAAATGCTGACCTTACCCAGCTGTGCTAAATGCTCTGGGCTTGTCATGGTTTGTGCATAATCCCTTGTCTCCATGCATAGGGTTAGGGAAGCTTGGCTTTTATTCCTCAAGCAGAAAAACAGCAACACTGAATTACATGGGGCAATATTTGCTGGCGTCAGTCCCCCAAAGCAAAGCTTTGCTTCTCAGAAACACTTGTGTTGGTGATGCCCAGGTGCCCCTCTTTGTCAGGACTGCCAGCTGTACAGTGACATCTTGCTCCCCAGCCCTGAAACAGTGCCGCTCTCCACTTCTCTTTTAGTTGGTGCTTTTTCCCCTGCAGACCTCTGAGTGATTGAGAGGTTTTTCTGGACAGCAGTCTCTAGCTCTCAAAGAGGACTGTGAAGTAGTTAGCAGCATCTGCCACGCTCACCCTTCCAGCCATTCTGTGCTGCTATTGATTCTGAGGGCTACGTAATTTATTTATTTTCATATTCTTCTGCAGCTCTTCCACAAAGAGCCCTTCAGCAACGCGTGCCTGACAGATGGCCTCAGAGCTCTGCTGTGTTTTAGCAGCTCTGCGTGCCCAGAGGCGCATTTAAACACACACAGCTTCCCAGCTGCCTCCCACTGCTCACTGCCACGTAAGGGACTGCTTTGCAGGGCACACTGGTGCTGGGACAGCTGGGTTACATCACTGCTTGCTTCCTTACCTGCACAGCATCTTCCATCAGGGACCTTCCCCAGGATAAGGGTGCAGCGTGACCTGTGCTGCAGGATCAGCTTGCTGGGTGCAAACCTTTGGCAGGCACCCACTGCTTATTTGCTCCTTAATTGTTTCCATTCATTCAGAGTTTTCCCAAGCTGGAAATCATCACTGGTGACCAGTTAGCTCCAAGAATGCGGAGGGCATTGCAGGAGAACAATGGACATTTCCCTGAAGACGCTCAAGTTACCATTAAGCAGTCAGAAATACAAATAAAGAGAGCAAAAGAAGCTATCCAGCATATATTTGAGTGGAATTGTATTACCATGCAGATCCCTAACAAGTTAACCTACAGAGATCTCGGGAGATGAGGAGAATGAGTGTATGGGAACTGCTGCATCACGGCCTGAAGCTCTGATTGATCACCTGAGGTGAGCTGTGGGTCAGCCAGAGGAGCACAGGTGAAGGCAATTCACCTGTCCTAGACCTATTTAAGAGCTGGCTACCAGTGGGGAAGGATCTCATCTGGAGATCTGCTCTGCTGGTGTTTTTTGTGGGTGAGCCTAGCATATGGGTAAGCCCTCCATTTATTCTCTCTTGTTATCTTAGTCTGCTTTGCCTAACTCTCTTGTTCTTTTTGTGATTATAGCATCTTAATATCCATTGATTATACACTTGGTGAGCCAGGCAGGCCAAATATACTAAAATTTACATCATGTCTTTTCTTTGGAATGCTTATAAATGGGTCAAGGGGGAGAACAATACTCCTCTAGAGAAAATGATTCCAGGGCAGATCTCAGGATCCCCCTATTATGAGTTAGCTGTTATCATTGAAAAATAGGGTCCCTTACATGTTATGGGCAATATCTCCCCATGTCGCATGGTGGATTGCTTTCAAGGACTTGGCAAGGATGTGCTCATCACTGAAGAAAGACAAGTGGCTGCCTCCATGGTGGCATGGCCACTATTAAGTGCCTTAAATCATGCAGATATAAGAAATAATACTTTAGAAAGTGAAAATCAACTTTTAAAAGACTGTATTGAAAAACTGGAGCATGAACTTGGTGTATTAACAGGAAATAAGCCAATTCTACATCTTCCCATAGGCCAAGTTCGTAACCTTTCAATAAACAATGACCAGACTCCTGAATCAACCAACTCTGTTGATCAGGAGAATAAAAACTCTCAGTTAGATCTTGAATATCCAATTCTGACTGATCCACTAGAAGTCTGTCCTGTCATTACCCAGAAAACAAAAAAAGTGCAGGACTGACCAGCAGGGGTGCTGCCTGCCCAGACTCATTTACATGTAATGGCCTGGCCATGCACAGCAACAGAATTAATGGCTTTAGTGCAGCAGTTGAACATGGGTCAGTCTGTCCTAAGCAATAGGCGAGCGCCGTTCCGAAGTGGAGCAGGGTTCCATGTGAACAGCAGCTCCCAAACGATGAGGCACATGGAGTCCATCTGGCAGAGGTGACACTGAGAGTGATGCCCTGAGCTCTTGGCAATGCACTGCTGCTCTGCCAGGAACAGCTGAGCCCTGCTGGGTACCAGTGCCAGCAATTCCCATTGGATCTGGTCCTCAGTGACCAGAGCCATGCTTGTGTGATTGGGATTTGTTCTTTATTTCAGGAGGCCTTTGAGCTTATTCATCCCTGACCCTTACGCTCTGGATAGATCAGAGAATGGGACATAAGGACCTGCATGACAGCAGCAGCTCTTCCTCCTGCCGCTTGTGGAAGCTGTTAGCATTCACTTCTGTCATATTAAATCCACATGTAATTTGTACATGAAGCTTCTATAAGCGCTCACGCACAGCAGGATGGCTTAGGATGCAGAACAGAGGGGTGAGACGATCCGCCCAGCACTGTGGGGCTGTATGGACCAGAGCAGCACAAGGGGGAACTGCCACAAAAAGGAGCTTCCCTCGTCTCTCCCTGGTTCATCCATCTGTCAGTATGGATCCCACCAGTAATTTGGTACAGAACATTGTCGGCAGCCTGCAAGCACCCTTGGTGTGTTGTTACATTTGTGAGGAATGAGCCCCCTTGCTGTGATGGCTCCATTCCTTTGGATTTTATTTTTCTGTCCCTTCTGTTAGCAATCAACTCGTGGTTTTGCTGTTTGCCTGCTTTCCACGTTGCAATCCACAAACACCCCCCAAAGCACCCATTGCAACAGCAACAGGACTACATTCTCACTTCCAAACAAACTAGGGAGTAGGGAACCCAAGCCAAAGATGCCCAAATTCCCCTTAGAGCATTCCAGAAACCTCAGCATTGCTGAGCCACAATCCTCACACCATCCTCATCCTCACCCCAAAACTCTACAGGCACAAAGCAGACACTTCTCTTGCAGCACAGCCAGACTCCCAGAAACCCAGGTGCTGCTGTCCATCCTTTGGCCTCCTTTGCTGCTTTTCTCCCATAGCCAGCTGCAAGCACCAATGCACACCTGCAGGGAAAGGGAAAAGCTCTTCCACAAAGGCATCAAGGAGCAGAGCTGGACCAGGTGATGCACAGCAGCATCTCTGAAATATCAGCCCCAATTCAGCACAAGTTGGGTTGTTAATGTTTTCTCTCTTTCTCTTCACCTTCACAGGATGAGAACTCACAGTTATACTGTGCTCATAGCTACCTGCCATAAATCCGGCACGAAGCAGCTGTCTCCTGTGATTCATGCTGGGGATGCATCCAGATCAAGGTAAGCTGCCTGCTTGGTACTCACTGTCGGTACCTTCAGCTCTTTCTGGGTATTTTTTTTTTTTTATCTTGGAAATGAACACTGAGAAAATGAATACTCCTGGCTCAAAACCCTTGTAGCCTCTTATCAGACCAGAGGCTTGATTTTAAAGAAAACAAGAAAATTGCCTTCCTCTCCAGAAGGATGCCAGGCTCAGCTGTGCTGAACTCCGGAACAAAGCCCATGTGAGGGTTTGAGGAGCACATGCACAGCACACACAGCAGCCTCCTGCAGGCCCAGTCCCCAGCTGGCACAGCTGCCCCAAGGCAGAAGACATCAAGGGTGCCTCTGTTCTAAGGACAGAGATCTCAGGGCTGCAGTCTCACTGCTGTGCTGTAGTCATGCTTTGCTGCACCAGGGCATCCCTGAGGTAGAGCTTACCCCAAGATCTGCTGTGATGCGGAGAAGTGGCTCCAGCTGAAAACAGAACGCAGGTGTTTCTTCCTTTATAGTCCAGGGAGTTCTCTGATGCATATGCACTGTATGATATTCTGCAAGATGCCCTACCAACCATATGGAGCTGTGTAAGGGGACTTCCAGCAGAGTTATTGGTCAGGTTCTGCACCTTGGGAAGTGATTTCAGGTTGCAAGTCAGACCAGGAAAAAAGCAAGACAGTTTAGTCTGTGCTCCCACCCTGCAGAGTCCTGTAACAATAGAAAAAGCCTTAAAATGCAAAAATCTGTGTTCCAACCATTCAGGCTATGGGCTGGAACAGTCTTGTTCACTCAGTACACAGAAGCATTCAGCAGTAATTTGAACTGTAAATGAGACATATCGGACCAGTTTCACCTGAAGCACTGTGAAAGTGATTTAGCTGGGACTGGTTTGCTTCAGCTGCCAGAATGGGCTAAATGGTGACAAGGGCTGGCAGAACACTCAGTTGTACATTCGGAGGGAGCCAGCAAAGCTGATATATTACACTGCTGGCCAACAGCACAGAGCTCTGCTGGAGTCCAGAGTTCAGCCTCTTACCATCGCAAAACAACACAATGGCCAAAGCCCCAACCAATGGCTCTAACTGCTCAAAGCTCCAGCTTTGATTCACATCCAGCTTTCCCTGTCCCCATCTGTTTGGTGGCTGGGCTGAGTACCAGCCCGTGCTACAGTCCAATCCACTTTCATCTGTAGCCATCACTGATTATTTGAGGATAGAACGAGAGTTTGCAATGGGCTGCAGCCAGCTGATTCCGGTGCAGCCTGTACTACGAGACAGAACAGAAACTCCTCCAGTGGAGATTCGGCATGATCTTTATTCACACATAGCAATGGCAATAGTTGGCAGCCAGGAAGAGCAGCGGGGGGAGCACGGAGCTTGCAGCAGTCGGCAGCACACAGCCCCACTGATGCCGTGCCTGAAACCATCAGGGCTTAAAGGGAAACATCACAACACAGCTGGGGATGACCTCTGGAGATCATCTGGTCCAAACCTACTCCAGCAGAACCACCTGGAGCTTACACCCAGCTGCCATACCTTCTCGCATCCACTCTTCGGATTGTGCAGCACTCATGCTACATCCAGGTGTCTCAGAACAAGGCACTGTCTCTGAAATCTCTTACCCAGCCCTGGAAGAGCCTGCAGTGACTCTGAGGCCACTGGAGATCTCCAGCTCGTCCTGCGAGGAGCCTTAAAATGGAGCTGAACAAAAACCACAGCAAAGGACAAAGAATGATTTGCAGGTTAATACCCACCAGCTATCACCAGACAAGCACACTTCAGATCAGCAGCTGGAAGGGGACAGACCCAAAGAACTGTGTATATCTGCAGCCAGCCCAACAACCTGGCTCGGGGACAGGAAAATAAGCATAGCACTGCTATAGGCTATGGGAAAGAGGGGTTGTTAACTGGGGAAGAACATCTGGTGTGTAGGAACTCTGCAGATCTCTAGCACTGCAGAAGCAATGACCTACAGAGGTTGGGGCTGCCCAGCACTGAGAAACCCCAGCTGCTTCCTTATGGCTGGATGCTTTCCCAGCAGCAGCCAAACCCAAGGAGACCTCTGTGACCATGCTGTCAAGACTGGAAATAGAGCTGCCATGAGCACAGCAGGTCCTGGAGGAATTCTGCTGCATGTTGTTTTTAACACCAAGGAGCTGCACTGACAATCTCTCCCTGGTGGTGAGCAGCAATCTACTATGATATAGACAAAGCTATAGGAGGTGGCTCATGACACTTCTCTTGCTCACAATGAGCGCTGCTCCGCAGAGGTCTCAGGGTGATGCTGGGAGGCGGCGGGGAGGGTGAGGATAGGGAGAAGGGCACGCTGGGTGGGATGGGGCCTCTGGCTCAGACCCAGGCCTTGACATGGGGGCTGCAGCCCCTGGCACAGCCGCACAGACCGCCCTCCTCATACCAGCGCCACTTCACGCCCTTGTACAGGGCCCGGCTGCACGGCTGGAAGCACATGAGGAGGCGAAGGCGCCTGGCCAGGCTGCAGTAGGTGGCCATGGCCACCACGATGAGGGGCGACATGATGACGAAGCCCAGGATGATGAGGGCCGAGGAGCTGTTGTCATCCAGGATGGTTCTGCAGTAGCGGGCAGTGGAGTGCAGCACCTGTGGGAACACAGGGAGTTTGTCACAGAGCAGCTGGTGGATAGGGGCAGGGACCAAAGCAGACTTGGTTTCAGTGCCTTCCCAATGAGGCACGGCTGCTCTTCCCTCTGCAGTCCTCAAGCGACATGATATGACTGACAACACTTTAATCAGGCTTTCAATTACTCGGGCATCGCCGTGAGACAAGAGTGCCACACTGCTCCTGAAGCAGGAAACCATCTTTATTAAGTTATCCATAATAGCACGCCTTAGCATTTGATATCTGGGAACCAAACAAAAAGGCCTCCCGCTGCTGCACCGACGTGGGTGGCACAACATGCTGGTAATTACAGCTAAGTAAATCAAATGCAGCAGAAATGTTGGGTCCTGCAGACAGATTGGTGGGCTGCAGATTCCCAAGCCTACTCTGTGCTCCATCTTCTGCACACCACCGTGTACATATTTGGATCTCTCAGCACTTCAACACCTGCTGAGAGGTCCTGCTCACCTTGTGCTGCTGTAGGGCACTCAGCACAGTGCTGGTTCGGGAGCTTACAGACCTGCTTTCCTGCTGGCAGCAGCAGCATGAGGCCAAGCCACTCACTGGTTCTGTGCTAACAAATGACATGGGCAGCCCTCACCCCCCCCCCCTCACCCCTCCAGCCTCCTTTCTTTTCTCTATATGCTTTCTGCAGTAGAAGCAGCACAATCACATTCAAAAAAAATAAATAAATCCATCTAATGGCTCTGCAGTGCAGAAATCAGCCTCTGGCTACGAGGAAGGCAGAGAACAGCAATAGCCTGAGGACAAAGGGCTGCTCTTGTCAAGCCATCCTGCAGCATTCCCCATCTACCTCTATTAAAAGATGAGTCTGAGTTAAAAGACTCCTTGCAGCTAACAGCACTTGCTTTCAGGACTGATGTACTCTGCTTTACTCAAAAACCTTTTGCTGCTCCTCAGAGCCCAGAGCCATCAAGCAGAGCCCTGCGTGTACAACGGGTAGTTTGGGGTCTTCCAAAAGGCCAGTGATCCCAATTGTCTCTTTGCGAAGACCAAGGGTCTGTGTGCTGAAACATTACCTCTCACTCCAGGATCTGCTCGCTCAGAGGTCCCAAGGATTTGGCTGACTAGATGGGATGCACGGATTTCATTAAGAAGGGTGGGGGAAAAAAAAACACTTCTCCTTTTATATTTCTCAGGTAAATATATAATTTTGAGAAGATTCAAAGTCTTCCCTTTGTTCCAATTTTGTGGAATGGGGTGGCCAACAGCATCTATTTTTGGAGCCTGTTCTCCCTCCTGGGAGGAAGTATTGCAGGGTTTGTTTTTTCCCTCCCCAAAGCAGGAAGAGAACCCTCCTAACGCTGGGTAACCTGCAAGAGAAACCAGATGGAGCTGCTCTAAGAGCTACTGCTGGTGAAATTGTTTCTTGCCATCCACTTAATCAACAGATTCCAACCATATTTATGGAAACATAAGAGGAAATTCATAGGAATTCTTGGAATAATGAAATTCAGAGGATAGCAACAACATGGAGCAGGCACAGCCAGAGCCCTTCCTGACCAAGCAAATATACTGGTTACAAGTGAGAAACTGTACAGAAACATCTGAATCTGTACACAGGCATTACAGACACTGCTAGGCTTTATTAATGCTGAATTATTTTTTAGGAAGATCAAATATGTCAATCACTGTGGAAAGGTTACTTAAACAGAAAGTAGCAAACACCACCAGAGCTCTTTTGCCCTTTAGTTTTCCCTACTCAAACTTCCATTCCAAATGGAGCAAACTTACTTACCCGAGAGTGGCACTGGAAGCCAAAGTAGACGACCACAATGGTGGGAAGCAACACGATGGTGAAGATAACAAGCATCAGGAGCAAGTTGATGAAAAAGACTAAGAGGTTCATGGTGGCTATCAGCAGAGCCCATGCCCAGCAGCCGCAGGTGCTCCGTGGCTCCCGGGGAAGGAGCTGATCATCCATGTCATACGGTGGGAGACCGGGATGCATCTTAGACTTGGCCAAGAGGCTTTCTGCTGCTAAGTCCTCGGTCTCCTGGTCAGCCATGTTGCAAGAATGCTGCTGATCAAACCCAAACCTTTTTCAAAGTGGTTCCTTTTGTTTTGGCCACAGATCTGCCTAGGCTTTTCCTAGCTCTTGCACATATGGACAAGAACACAGCCAGAGAGTGTAATGGAGCAAGGGAAGAATGATCTTTTGGCCACCTGCTTTCCCAGGACAAATTGTTCCTTCTTAGGTTGTTTTCCAGTAGTGTCCTGATCTCAGTTTTAAGGCAGCTTGGCAACAGCTATAGTTCTGCTTCTGAATCCATGGCACCCCTGAATTCCCGTTGTTCTTTCCAGGAGTCCGACTCCAAGAGGTCCCCACCAGTTGCTCTCAGCTTTGATAGGTAGCTCGGGTCAGGAGGGTACCTGGCTTCATCTTCCTCCTCCAACTCTTAGCACTGCTGTTTGCCAGCAACACCAGCACCTCCAGACAGGTCGTCGACTTTAAATCACCTTTCCGTGCTTCTCATCCCGTACCCATGGAAATATTCCTTCTCAACTCTCATCCAAACAAAGTGCCCGGGGATGATAACGAAGCAGAGCTGCCCTCCCCTCTGCCTTGATGGAGTCCTTGCCCACAGCAGGCAGAGATGGAAGCAGAGATGGGAGCAGTGTGTGGTCTCAGTGCTCTCTGCTCCCCGCTGTCACAGTGCTCCAATGCACGCAGTGCCTTCCTCAGAGCCTCGCAGCACTGCTCTGTTTACAGTGTGGCTTCTGAAGCTGCTTTCTGTGCCAGCCAATCACTTACATCTGCCTCACAAGTGATTTAGCACACAGCACCCAGGAGCCACACTCAAACCATACATTCCCAGGGCAAGATGGTCTCTTTCAAACTGAAATTATTATTCTGCCCGTGATCCATTTTCTACGTTTTCTCTCTAGATTAAAATGCCTTATAGTAATTGATAATAATCACTATATAGCTTAGAAACCTTCTGTTCTCTGCGCTCGCCACTGTTATTGTCTGCAGAGCACACTGATGTACTCTTGTGCTGAAGGCAGAGTAATGATCACTTATTCTACCTTCCTGATTTGATGAATGTTATTTAAGAAATCACTGCTATCTCTGCCTTTATGTCACCTTTCAGATGAATTCACTTGTGCAGGAGGAAGAAAACTTTCTTCCAGGAGGTGCACAGGTCTTACCAGAAGGCAGAGCTCAGCACAGCAGGAAAGCAATCCAGGAGTCCTATCTTCCATTCAGTGCTACTTCCTAGAGAAATTCTGCTCTAGGAAAGGGCTGAGAGACTGCTCAAGCTGTGTTTGTGGTGTTTGAATTGAAGGAAGGCTCGTTCAGGAAGCCTCCCAGTTCTCTCAGTACCTTCCCTCCTCAGGCTCAGGACTGTCAAATACTGTTTGTACAAAGCGAGACACCCTGAGACCATTTGCAGTCTGCCACACGTAATCAGCGCTGAAGTGTAGGCTTGAAGACTCAAGTGGATTGAAGAGAGGTGTGAGAAAATTGGTATTGATTTCAAATACCAGCAAGAATGAAGCCTTATGAAACAAGTAAGGAGTTTTAAAAACAGCTCGGCACCATCCACATTTGTTATGCAGTTCTCCTAGCTATTACAATTACTAGTTGATTCACTTACCACTTCATTATTTTTCTACGGCTCTTCTTGTTAAACCTATCCAGCATTCAGAAGTCTCAGGAGCTTCACCTCATGAACATCTAGTGATAAAAATTCCCCTAACCAGTCTGCACTTGAGCGCAGCTCACAAGTAAGGTGCAGCATCCATACTAAGAGCACAAACCCTCACAGCCAAAGAACACCTTGTTCTGTCCTTACCATTGACACACCCTGAAGAACAGCAAGGCAAGGTGAAATTGAGAAATCAGCCTGAGGGTCACAGCCTGTGTCTCACTTCCATGAGCACAGATTTGGTTCCTCAGGTCCTGGATGAATCTTCAGCTGCACATCTCTCACTGTCCTGCTTTGAGATACAAAGGGTCTTTTCAGGCCTAATTGCCAAAAGGTTTATTAATTATGCAAAATCCTAGCTTCCTTATGATGTTTTGGAAAGGAGGAAATGAAAAAGGGAGCCACTATCTCCAGTATAATCCTGTTTATTTATGAAGTGGCAAAAGAGTCATTTATTCCTGCAATACAGCAGGGAACAAACAACAGCAGGCACATTTCTGCACGCAAGCTAGTCCCATCTGTTCCTGAAGGGACACACTCTGCTTCCAGGGCATTCTCCAGCCATGTGCTTCTCCTCATTCCTTCCACAAAGTGTGTTTTCTCTGGACTGCCTTCCAGATCTCCCACGGACACAGTGGCCAGACAGAGCAAGGGAACTCACTTTGCTTCCTGTGCTCTGTACCATGCCTGTTTCACCCAAAGGGTTGAATGCTGGCCATTCCCCTGGTACGTTCCAACTGGCTGCGTTCCATGCTTGGTGTTTCCTAACTGCAGGGAAAACCCTTCACCTGGAGGCAGCAATAGGGGAGGACTTAGCATCACTTGGGAAACCCACTCTCCACACGAAGCACTGGGCAGCTGTGCTGCTCCTTACCAGGAATGACTTCAGCTAGATTCTTCTTGAGTCATTTTATTTGCTTAGCCGTAGTGCTGAAGGTGACATCTGTTTTGTTTGTTGTTATTTATTCCATCTGTTGAGCTCTCACAGCGAAGAAAAAATTAAAGCTGATGTGCCAGGTGAGGAGGGGAATGTTAAAAATAGGCTCTGCCATCAGCCTGCAGCTTGATTTGTTCCTTATCTAAGCTGATTATAAACTAACTTACCCAGGTTCTGAATTGTAAGTAAAAAAAAAAAACAAAAAAAGAAAACTGTCTGTCAAACCTGAAAATGGTCCTTTTCATTTCTGAATGTCAGGCACTGAAATATTTTTGAAAACTGTGCGATGTAATAAAAAACATTAAATCGATTTCAAAAGCACTTCAGCTGACAGATCGATTTCTATTTTAACAGAACTGCAAAGCCCAGGAGCACCTCTGTTTGGACAGCCACTTTCCTGGGAGGAAGAGAACAAACTGTGAAAACCTTCTAAGTGACTGCTAGGGAAACTTCTCTTCGAGCGCATCCTGGAATGATTTCCCAGCTGTGCCACGAGAGGATTTCTAAATCAGATTGGAAAAACACAAGGGTTGCAAATCTGCTTAGCATGTACGGTGTAGGGCACAGCGAAGACGTTTCATAAACACAGAATTCATTGTTCACATTCTTCAAAAGGCTCACGGTAGCAATGAATAATTTAAGATTGAGAGGGACAAAAGATCTGAAGCAAGAATGCTACCACGGGCTTGGAATAATACCTAGTACAAGCATTCAGGTTTTGCCCAGTGCAATTTCAGACGTGATATTCAAAGAGCAGTATGAGTACCCTTCCTTTCACACATGTGACAAGGGAAGTTGTTTGCTCTATCAGCTAGCAGGCCAGTGGCAAGGCTGAGAACAGAGCCTGCATGTGTTCTGTGTCTTTTCGGACCCATGAGTCAACATTTTTCAACGACCACAAATGAGCCTATCTCCTTTCTACTAATGAATTCATGTATGAGAGAAAGAGAGAGAAAGAGATGAAAAAATATAGGGAGGAATGACCTTTAAAACAGTCAGATTGTATGAAAAGCCCATTTTCATCTTGTTCTACCCATTTCCTCACCACTCTCTCAGGCTGAATGGCTCCTAGGGGAGAACGGAAGCCAATAGCTTTCCCTCAAGCTGCAAAATGTGAAATGTCTGCACAGACCTACCGAGACGTCCACAGGGAAATAACTACGGCATACATCCTGCATTCAGTTATTGCACAGGCCAGCCATGGTGGTAATAAAGCCCTGAATCTGTGCAGGAAAACAGATGGCATCGGATGTAATAAATATGACAAATGGCATGGAGGCTCCTGAAGAGTCACAGCATAGTGAATGGCTGCCAGCAGCTCCTGGTTCAAATATCTAGTATTTTTCAAGTCTAAGTTAAGCCCTCTAACTGGAGAAAGGATAAGACACGCACAGAGGGTGAAAAGCAAAAAAACAAATAGCCAGCAACAAGCCCTAGAGGAAATAAAATCAGATCAAGACTTAAGCCATGGCAAGACAGCAAACACTGTATCAGGCAACTCAAATCCTAACCCAAATCACTTCTGCTGTCTTGTGTTTGAGTTCCACAGGGTGGGAAAGGTGCCTTGGTGTAACTTAGGGAGCAGTTACTAACAGAAGCATCATTGCTTTGAAGTGCTCAGAGTGGTGTGCTAGTGTCAGTAGCTACCTCTAAGGGCAGACCCTCACTACTAAGCAACTTTTCTGCAGTCCATCACAACAGCCCCATCTTGTGGTTTGTCAGTTTGCAATTTTTCACTTTCACCATTTGTGGTGCACAAAACACAGCAAGATGGACCACCAGCACCGAGTTCTACATTACTTGCCCTCCTTATGGTAACTCACCACGTCTGGGCAGTGATTGGAACCCAGCATGCAGGAAGCCTTGCTCCAGCTGGGCTGAATGACTAACTCCAGTGCTAAGGATGGGTTAAAAGAACTTGCTAAACATGCAAACCCAAAATTAAACATAGACAGCGAGAGTTTTTGGGTTTGATCATTTAATTAAGATTTATTAAACTCACTTCAGCACAAACTGAATCATTCTTTTTAACGCCCATGCAAGAGACACACCCAGTGAAATCCCAATCTTGAACAGGTCAAGACGAAGCCAGCTGGGGCTGAAACCCTAAAATCCATCATTAAATGTGCACAGTGACATAGCAGCAGTGAAGGGGAACCATCAGACAGCTCCACATCCTTGTTATCCCAGAGGGGCAGCAGGGACTGGGACACATGGTGCAGCTGCGCCTGCTGCGGCCTAGTTTGGTCCAGTACAGCCTAGCCCAGCCTAGCCTGGTCTGGTGCAGCCTAGTTTGGTCTGGTGTGGCCTAGCCCGGTTCGGCGAGGCCTACTTTGATTCGGTGCGGCCTAGCCCAATTTGGCGCGGCCTAGTTTGGTCTGGTGCAGCCTAATTTGGTCCGGTGCGGCCTAGCCCGATTCGACGAGGCCTACTTTGGTCCGGCAAGGCCTAGCCCGGTTCAGCGCGGTCCAGCCCGGCCCGAACAAACGCGGCCTAGCCGAGTCCACAGCAGGCGGAAAGACCAGGGCCCTCCCCCTTAGTGCCCGCCCCGGAAGCCGGGGCGGTGTGGCGTTGCCGTGCCCTCGCGGGGAGATGGTGGTGCTGAGCTTACCGCTGTGGCTGCGCAGCCGCCTGACCGATCGCTTCTGGAGGGTGCAGGAGGTGCTCAAGTATGCTCGGGTGAGTGCGGCACGGCCCGGGTGCTCGTCCCCGTGGATCCCTGGAGGTGGCTGAAAAAGAATCAGCGTTTTGCGTGGCGCTGGTGTATGAATAGCGCTGGAGGCCTGGGGCTGCTTCAGCACACGTGAGGAGCAGGGGGTTCTGTGCCGGAGGGGTGAGCAGCACGGGAGAAGCAGCCTGCAAAGGCCGATCTGGGGGTTTGAACTGAAGTTCTGATAGCTGTACTTCGGCTGGGGAAGAGCCTTTTCCAAGGGCAGGCTGGCATCCTGGCGAGAGGTACGGCTTGCTGCAGAACGGAGCTGGGAAATGTTCAATTAAGTGATGGCAGCAGCAGTGCAAGTTATTTCGGATGACAGTTATTCCACTGACCATACGGCAATGTCCTGTCATGATGCAGAGGTGACAGTGCCAGCAGAGGGTCTTGTCCTATTCCTGCGGACAAAAGTGAGAGGGTAGCTCAGGAATGGGGATGAATGATAAAGATTTAGAGGTTGTTCAAAAGCATCAGTTGCCCTCAACCTGGAACCACAGCCTAAAGTGATGTCGGCTTTTCTCTCCCTCCTGCTGGAATGAAAGGTTTCATCCTGAACCAAATTTTCAGTTTTGAGTGGTAAAGTGATGAAAGAATATTTGCAGTATATGCAAGCTGCAGGCTTAGCTGATGGTTGTGTCTTGCAAACCCTGTTATGAAGGGGTTTGAAGTGCAGACAAGGATATATTAGCATTACTGAAGGATTTAATAGTCTTAAAGTTAACAAGAACATCTTGTTTTTATTTCAGCATTTTCGTGGAAGGAAGAATCGCTGCTATAAGTTGGCTGTACGAAATGTTACAAGAGCTTTTGTGAAGTCAACGAAGGCCAGAAAACAGAAGAAAAGGTTCCTAAGAGCGGTAAATAGCAAACTGTTATCTGTAAACATTGTAACAGGAAAAGCACAGAACTGATAGAGGCACTTTTCTCTGGGGGGAATTGTCTCTCAGAATGTGTTACCAACATGAAAAATGCTGTGAATTTAAGGTAGTAACCCCTCTGTGATCTGGAAAAGCTCACATTCATGGAGATGTATGTTGCACTGAGAAAAATGAAGGTCTGAATGTGTTAAAATTTACTAGATGTGAGCAGATCAACATCACAGAATGCTTATTTATATAATATTTTATCACCCAATATGTTAATTTTTACACTTTCAGCTCTGGATCACTAGGATCGAAGCAGCTTCTCTTGAACATGGTTTGAAATACTCAGCTTTCATAAGCAATCTGTTTAAGGTAAGGATGGTTCTTGAGTAATGTAGGTGTAGTTTGACAAAACAGGTCAAAAGGCAACAAAAGGTTGCTGGCTGCAACAGCAAGAAACTCAGTGTGCAGCTGCTACTTACCAGTCCTTGAAGAGAAAGAGTGGGGATGTCCAAATAGGAGCCTGAGCAGGCAGTACCAGCTTAGAGCATGGGTGGAAAAGCTCCCTCTGTCAGACTGAACTTCTACCAGCACTGTTCTCCTTCCTAGCAATGACATAAGCTGTGCTTATGAGAATTGTACTCGCTTGAGGCACTGAACTCTGCCCTGATCCTGTTTCTCTCAGTCTCCTTTTACTCTGGTAGACATCGTTGCTTCTAAGTGAAGGATATTTTTCTAAGGTTCTCTGTTAAAAGATTCAGAAGAAGCCAACATGCAGTTCTTCAGTTTAGAACGTGAGAGATTTGTTCTTTGCTTCTTAGTGTGTACTGGAAAGACTTTTGAGAAAGTCAGGACAGAAATTAGTGGCTTAAGGAGACACCCATGACTGAGTAATCATGTCTGACAGTTCTCTAGTTGTGCCAGAATTGTACAGTGTAGGAAAAAATGGTAATTTGCCTTAAAACCTCAGATAATTACTAGGCATTGCAGTGTTGTTGCTATTCCTAAAAATTACAGTACTTAACCAACAATTCGTCTTATACTTAGACCCAGGTGGAGCTGAATAGGAAAATGATTGCTGATTTGGCCATTTATGAGCCAAAGACATTCAAGTCCCTCGCTGCCTTAGCCCAGAGGAGGAGACAAGAAGGTATCCTCGCCGCCCTGGGAGACGGGAAGGAGCCAGAGGGGATATTTTCACGTATCGTGCACCACTATTAACATCCAGCACCTGCGGATGGGTGTCGTGAGCAGGAACTCGTAGTGCAGGGCAGACCTGCTCACAGGCTGAGGTCAGAGCTGTGGAACAACTCCGTGATGATTGTGGCAGGGTGGAAGGGCAGGGCGTGATGTTCGCGTGGGTGAGTTGTATTTTCCCCTGTTAACGTGAGATGTGTCAAGAACAGGAGTTTGGTGTCAGTGGTGACACCTGTAGGAGTTCTGATGTTAAGATGTCTATAGCGTGCGCATACCTGCTGTTAAAGACTTAATAAAGATACTTTTTTATTAACAATTTCCAATTATTAAATTGGAAAAAGAATCTGAGTCACTACTAGCATCGTAATAGGGGGAAAAAAAAAATACTTAATAGCTAAAAAACCCAACACCGTACAACCCTGCCCCAACAGAACCGCTGGCACCGGGACGCGCACTAGTCCGCCTGCTGCTGCTGGGCCCCTGCTAACGGCGGAAGCCCCGTAGCCGGAAGTCACATCGCCGGAAGCCCCGCCCACTCCGCTCTTCAAATTCCCAAGAGCTGCGTCACGCTGCCCGAAAGAGCGTCAGATGTCGCGGCGGCTCAACCAATCGCTGCCCACCGCTCCGTCGCGTTCCGCCAATAGGAAGTGGCCGGAAGTAGAAAGGGGCGGGGGAAGCGTTGAGGGCGAGGCGCCGCCCGGCGGAGAAGGAGAGCGCAGGCAGGCGAGGCGGCGGCACCACAAAATGGCGGCGGGGTCAGGCAGCGCGGCGGCCGTGGCGGCGGTAACGGGCGGCGGCCCCGCGGGGCCTCACGCTGTAGGCGTTACGGCGGGCGGCGCCGCAGCGGGGAGCGGCGCGCCGGTTCCAGGCCCCGGGGCCGTGCTGATCGGGGACCGGCTGTACTCGGGTGTGCTGATCACGCTGGAGAACTGCCTGCTGCCCGAGCACACGCTGCGCTTCACCCCGTCCATGAGCAGCGGCCTCGACCCCGATACGGAGACCGAGCTGCGCGTCACCGGCTGCGAGCTCATCCAGGCGGCCGGCATCCTGCTTCGCCTCCCGCAGGTAGGCCGCGGTCCGGGCCTGGGTGGGGCGCGCAGACCTCGCGGCGGCCCGGCCGGGTTAAGGGCTTGGAACGGCGCACCGTGAGGCCTCGAACGGCTCCGGGCCGCGCCGCAGGGCTCTCGCGGAAGGGATTGGGGGCGGCAGCAGGAAGCGCTGATGTAAGCGGGGGCGGGGACCCCGTTGGGCTTTGTTAAGGCCGGGCTCGGGGCTGGGGGTGCGCAGCCCTGGTGGGATTCGCTCGGAATGAGTTTCGCTGTGGGTTCAGAGCGAAGCTTCCCTGACTGCGGACTCCCAGGTACTCGAGTTGTAAGAGGAAAGCCGTGTTGGAGTCACGCTCCTTCCCCGCCCCTAAGGAAATACCCTGTGATGTTTTCTTTTGGTTTTGTTTGTTGTTTTTCTGGCAATGTTCGGCTTTTCTGAGTGCGGAGGTTTGGGGGCTTCAGATTGGTAATATTTGAGGTGATTTGATTTGCCACTGCAACAGCAATGCTCCTTTTCTTTAGATACTGCTTAACTAGCTCGTTTATTAGCTTTATTTTGGTGTTAAACCTGTTGCTAATCACTCAAAGTGTTGTTTTCTTGACCTGGGAATGGCTTTCTTAACACCTGTTATGACTGCTTCTTTCTTAGGTTGCTATGGCTACAGGACAGGTGCTATTTCAGCGTTTCTTCTATACCAAGTCTTTTGTGAAGCATTCCATGGAGGTAAGAAACAAACATGATGTGCATGGCTAGAAAAGTGACTTAGTTTTTACTCTGTTTCACCTGGTTGTCCACCTGGATGTGGTCAGAGCATTGGTAACTAACCTGCAGGCTTACAGACTGATGTAACTTTGCAAAGCTGCACGGTGTTTAGTGATTTCTGTGAAGTGTTTTCCTGTTTTTACCACTGTTTTCTCTTGTTGTCCCTCCTTAAGCTATTGAAGGAGATGAGCTTCCAATTTGAGCAAAGCATCAGTCTCTTGCAATACTTCTATTTCAGCACGTGTCAATGGCCTGTGTTCATCTGGCATCCAAAATCGAGGAGGCACCGAGGCGCATCAGGGATGTAATTAATGTGTTCCATCGCCTCCGACATCTGCGAGAGAAAAAGTAAGCTCAGGTTTGGAAATAATCTGAAATGTTTGCTTTTTGTTTCATTTATTCGACTTCGCTGGCTGATGTTGGTATCATTTTGTGTCTAATACATTGGAGACCGTGTTGAAAAGATCTCATTAAGGAGAAAAGGGGAGTTGACCAAGTTAAAATAAAGGTTTTTGGTGCTAGAAGTAGTGGTGGTGCATCTTAGCTTTACACAAACACAACTTAACATGCATAAATAACTCCTTGGGTTTAAGTTTGCCATTGAAATTTGACGTTGTCTTGCAGAAAGCCTGTACCTCTAATACTGGATCAAGAATACGTGAACTTGAAGAACCAAATTATTAAGGCAGAAAGAAGAGTTTTAAAGGAGTTGGGGTTTTGTGTTCATGTAAAGCATCCTCATAAGGTTTGTATTGTGTACATTAACTTTGTGCTCAGTTTCTTACATGATATAAATGCTTTGAGTTGGGTGCTTAATTCCATGGGAGCTGTGTGGTTTGTTCCTGAGAACAGTACGTAATTCAATGCAGCTAGCTACTCGTGACATCTTAATCATTCATTGTGCATTTGCACTCATTTGTTGACTAGTATAAACTTTTCCAATTAGTGTAGTTTCCATTCTCTTGCTTTCCTTTCAAACCTAGGAAAAACCTGCTGAATGCACCAGGGACACAAAACGTGTCGGGCTGTTCTTTGCAAATGTTGTTCTGCTTCCGTTGTTACTTATTGCAGCTAGCCATATTTTCTCCCAAGTTACAGCTAAAAAGGACTCGTGAGTTGTGTAGGAGAACATACCTAGCTTGAAGACGAGCCTTCTAGATGAATAGCATGATGACTGAGCTCAGAAGACGGAGAGCTAGGAAGGTCAGATCTGGTTGTGTGTCGACTCATGCCAGCTTCTGCACTGGAAAGCAGAGGTTGTGTGGGTCGATGTTGCAAACACCCATGTGGAGTGTTGTAGAACTTGAAAGGAAACTGGATGCCTCATGGATGTCCCTCTGAGATATATAGGTGGCTGTGAAGATTCTTGTTAATAACACAATAACCCATATCTTCCAGATAATCGTTATGTACCTTCAGGTATTAGAATGTGAACGTAACCAACACCTGGTCCAGACCTCATGGTAAGTTGATTTTCTTTGTTACGAGAGACCAGCAGGGGCAGTAGCAGAAATATGTCACTTGATGTATTCTGGGCAGCAGTGCTCAGAAGTGATTGTGGGCCACAGCAGACAGCTCCAGTGTTTCTTGGAGTGCCCAAACTGCTACCCAAATGTTGATCGGCCTCTTAAGTTTGAGGCTCTGTTTTAATGGTAAGGTAGCTTTCCGCCCTGACTTCTCACTACCCTCCTCTCTGCTTTCACCTTTCAGCTGAAGGGAAAACATTGAGTGGTTAAATGGTTCTCTTGGGATTTTGTTTGTTTCTTGTTCTCTGTAGAAAATTGTGTAGTCAGTGCGCTGCCAGGCTGGGAAATGGCCTTTCCCATTGCCTGAGTTTGATTACAGGTGCGTCAAAACATCTCAGCACAGATAAATTTCTCTTATCCCTATGGATAATGCGAGGTATCAGCTTCTAAGACTGGATAAGCACATTGTATTCCTGGTTACCGAGACACGTCCTCTGCCTTGTTGCTTTCATTACTGCAAAGATTTGCTTGGATATGGGAAGCTTATGAGAAATTCCAGGTCTTAAACGTAAACAAACAACGCTTTTAAGCAGCGATGCTTTTGAACCATGCCGTGGTTTAAAAATAGTGTGAATCCAAAGATCATATTTCTGCTGACTGAACTGTCTGGTACTGTGGCCTGTGTACAGAGAACCAGTTTTGACTTTTCTTTTCTGTACTCTTTTAATCAAAGGGTAGCCTCTGAGGGTAAGTGACTAAGACTTCTCCTCTGCTGCCCAAGCGCTATGGTGCAGGGATAGCTGCCGTCTTCAGTCAAACCAAAGCAGGCTCTCCAAAGAGAAGGCTGACTCTAGACAGGTGGTATGCACATGATAGTATAGTAACTGGCCAACTGCTTCTTGTGCTTAAAGTATAACTTATTTTTATCGTGTTTTTTTTTTTCTTCTTGACTGTTGTACGTTTTATAACTTGGTGGTTGATATTTCGAATGGTTTTTAATATTAAATTCTTATAACTGTTTTAAAAAATGTGTTTTTAATGATAAGAGCAAACGGAGGTAGGATTTCATACATCTCTATATGGTTTAACAGAATAAAAAACCTGAAATTTAATTTCAATCTGTAAATGAGAGAAATCATGTGATACTGATTTAGGACTTGAAAATCCATACTCCATATTATTCCAGTACTGTTGCATGTGGGTCCCTTCAACTTGGCATAACCTATGAAGCATTCAGATGTCAATTACATATTACTCATTTCCAGTTTTCTACTCTTTATCAAAGGAAGGAGGGGTAAGTGAGGAGGAGGGAGGAAATTACCCCATTTGAGAAACGTTTCTGATGCTGCAATGACACATCTGTGTGCTGATGCTTGTAGGTTCCAGTACTTGAAAACGGGTGGATATCCAGTACAGTTGTTGCCTTTATTTTTGCAATGTGCATTTTACAACGTTACCTTTTGGATTAATTAATACGTTGTGACAAGGATTCACTTCCTCACACACCTGATTCTGAGCCCACACAGAAAGCTTACAGTGACTGAGGTTGGAAGCAGTCAAGTTTTTCAACTTGGCAAGTTAGAAATGCATATATAAAGTTCTAATGTTTGAAGCACCACTCTTCTACTCTTGTTTGCTAAGAGGTTTCTTCCCTCATTTTGTGTTTGTGGTATAATATGAGTGGCTTTTAAAGGTCTTTTCTCCTAGAAAGATGAGTTGGTGGTTATGACTGCTCTGGGGCAGCAGTTGCTCTTGTCTAAAACAAGACAAGCAGAGCAGGTGGGAGTTTGACATCTAAAAGCTTCAGGTTCCTTTCAACTCTCCCATGTAAAATGGATGCAAGTGTCTAGACTGTGGTCTCTGGTTTTGGATGTCTTGGAGGCTGGTGAATCCTTGTATGATGGTACCCACATCATTAATAACGACTACTTTCAAAAAGCTTACTATATTGAGGATTTTGTTTTCTGTTGTTTTCCCCATCTGATGCTTTGCTTGACATGTGCTCAAAAATCTAGATCTTCTTAAGGGCTTCAACTGACAGATTCAGAGGAAGTTACTTTGTATTTAAGACTTTAGAAGAATAATTTTCAAGTGTACTGACTGGAATATTATATGCAATATTTTACAGTTTTCTCATTCTGTGAATATTCATTTTAAGCAACATTATTGACATTGGACAATTTGGAAATCGTGTTTCATGTGCCAAGGAGGAGATCTGCCTGAATACTGAGCATTCTCCTGAACTGATGTTCCCAGAGACCTTTCATCTGTGCCTGCTTTTTGCATCGAGAAGGATTCTGTTCAGGATGGAAAGCACTGCTTCCAGAGGAGAATGGATCCCCTGAATCTTCAGTGGAGGCTGACATGTGCTGAAGTGGACTTCATTTTCATGGGATAACTGCCACAGGAGCTGCTGCTTTTCAAACCATCTGGGCTCAGCCCTATTGCAGAGAAACATGTGAACCTAAAAGTCTGTAACTGAGTACTTCAGCTTATATTGTATGTTGTCTTCATGCAGATCCTCTCTAGTGCATGAGAGCAGGCCAGTAGAGATCCAGAAGGAAAAGTGAAGTTAAAAATGGTTCTCATCTCACAGCTGAGTTTTCAGCAGCCAGTCAGTCAAACTTAATTTCTATCACACATCCCTCCCCTTGAGGGATTTTTTCTTTCATTTTTTTAGTAAAATATTCAATTTTTTTCTTTTTTTCTTTTATTTTTTTTTTAGATCTATAGGAATGTAATATTGAAGTCTAGTTGAATGCAGAAAGAAGCAGTACTTGTAGAAGTAGGGGGAGGAGCGGGGGGAAGATGCAGAGGGGCATCAGGAGGGAAGATCTTGTGCTCTGCAACTCTGTTATCCTGTCTTTCAGGAATTACATGAATGATAGCCTGAGAACAGATGTCTTTGTAAGATTTCAGCCAGAAAGCATTGCCTGTGCATGTATATACCTTGCAGCTAGAACGTTGGAGGTGAGCCTATGGTTCCATTAACTTTGAGTTTGCTAGGTCTTCTAGTGGAAGCAAAAACTGAGTGTCTCTTCCCCTCCCTTTCAGATTCCACTTCCCAATCGTCCACATTGGTTTCTACTCTTTGGGACAACAGAAGAGGAGATACAAGAAATCTGCTTAAAAATTTTGCAGCTCTACACCAGGAAAAAGGTTTGTGTCTTTCATATCACGAGTCCCCTAAAGACAGCAAGTTGAAACACGAGTTGGAAAGCCTTACCCTGTTTGACACCAGCTGCAAGCTTGGTGTGTTATTGGAACAGCATGCTGGTGGTCACAGGGTCTGGGTCCTTGTCCTAGGAGTAAGTGAGAAGTCTAGTTTACAAAGTTGTGTTATAAGCAAGGCTCTTTGACCTTACAGGTTGATTTGTCTGACCTGGAAAGTAAAATAGAGAAGAAGAAATTAGCAATTGAAGAGGCAAAAGCACAAGCTAAAGGTCTGCTACCTGAAGGAGCCCCGGTACTGGATAACACGTCAGGGTTTTCCCCTCTACCTAAAAATGGTAAGCAGTGGTGGAGTTGTTTGGAATATTTTCTCATCTCCTGCTCTCACGGTAGAGTTTGAATAGTGTTGCAACTCTGAAATTCTTGAAGCAGATAAAGACTGAATTCAAGTTAGTCTAGAGGTAACTTAACTGTGTACTGGGAGAGATTTGCTTGTATGTGGTTTTGGCAGTAAACTTAATAGTCAATGTTGGCATGTTATACTAAAGAAATGCAGCACAGATATGAGTGGGAGCTTTGGTAAGTAATATTTCTGGGTGAGAGCTCTGAAGCTTGTGGTCTGCTACGTTCCAGATGATCGTGTCCTCAGTTTCTCTTGCTCGTTATTCCTCTCCTTTGTGAAGTGGCTTTGAAGGCAATGTGCTGCTATTGCAGTTAACTCCCTTGTGTGACAGTAATAACAGTATTTGGGTGGAAACGTTTCAGGTTAAATCCTGACTTGGGCTTCTTCAGATCCACTTTTGGGCAGGTGTGTGCTCTGGCACAGAGGGATGTACCTGAACAACACAGTAGGTGCAGTAGGGATTGTTAAAGCAAAATGAAAGCAGCGTGGGGAGAGGCTTCAATCCTTATCTCTTCCAGTTAGTACTCACATTTTCAAAACAAGGTAACAAAGGCTTCTTTTTCTAGAGTCTCCAAAAGAGGCTAAAGGAAATAAACCTTCCCCACTCCCTGTTCAAGCAATGAAGAATGCTAAAAGGAAAGCAGAAGGAGCGAAAAGAACTGGTTCCAATAGCCCAGTAAATGGGTAAGGTTTGCATAACAAAAACTTACCTCTTCCTCACTGTTACTTTAAACAAAACTCACTGTGTTTGTTGTCCCTGGCAGGGTTCAGAAAAGCAGGGAAAGCAGAAGTCGAAGTGGGAGTAGAGATCAGAGTTATTCAAGGTCACCATCCAGATCTGCATCCCCTAAGCACAGGTATGGAGTGCTGCTGCACTGAGGTGGTTGAAAGGTAACTTCAGGGAGTCCTGAGAAATAGAATCACACAGAATCACAAGGTTGGAAACGACCTGCAAGATCATCCAGTCCAACCACCCTCCCATTCCTATCAGTACCACAAGCACTAAACCATCTCTTGTAGCTCCTCATCCAGGCGCCTCTTGAACACTGCCAGGGACGGTGACTCCACCACCTCCCTGGGCAGCCATTGCAGTGCCTGACCACCCTTTGAGAGAAAAAGTTTCTCCTAATATCCAACCTGAACCTCCTCTGGTGCAACTTCTGGCCGTTTCCTTGGGTCCCACTATTTGCCTGGGAGAAGAGGCCAGACCCTTTTGCACCACAACCTCCCTTCAGGAAGTTGTAGAGTGCAATAAGGTCTCCCCTGAGCCTCCTCTTCTCCAGACTGAGGGTCTTCACGCAGACAGAGGGTCAGCTGTTTCCTGTGCTGACCTTTAGGAGCTGTTAATGAAGCAATGTAGAACCATTGGACTTACAAAGTCACGTCCTTGCTCTCCCTGTAGGAAAAGTGAAAGTTACTCCACGTCCAGCGGTTCCAAGTCCCACAGCCGCTCCCGGAGCCGCAGCGACTCTCCTCCCAGGCAATTCAACCACAGCTCGACTTACAAAGCTTCCAAGGTGAGAAGTTACAAGAAATCCAAAGACTATAAATACACAGCACACAAAGCCCGCAAATCACGCAGCAGGAGTTCGTCCCGATCCAGGAGCCGATCCCGGGAGCGCTCCGACCACTCGGGGAAGTACAAGAAGAAGAGTCACTACTACAGGAATCACAGGCACGAGCGTTCTCGGTCCTACGAGCGAGCAGCTCATCGTTACGACAGAGACCATCCTGGCCACAGCAGGCACAGGAGGTGAAGCTCTCACAGAGCTCTTTCCTTTGGAATTGGAGCAGCGGAGCCCTCCTTCCCCGTTTGGCCTTTGCTGCGTAGGGGTAACCTGGCTTGTAAACCACTTGGTCTCAGTAAAGTCTGTGTTACTGGTGATTCTGTGCTTGCTGTCATGTATCCAAAGGAAAGATGCTAACAGGATACAGTCACACAAAGGACTCCATCTGGTATCTGGCTCCGTGGCTGTTACGCTGGAGGTCAACTGCTAACTGCAGAGCTTGTCTGGATGCTCCTCTGCCTGCTCTTTAGTGATCTGCATACCGTAGCACGTAGAGTGTTGCTTGGGCCTTCCAGTTCTGCAGCAGGATCTGCATTCCTCAGCTGGAATGCTGTGTTGGACGGTCCTTGTGTGGAATTAGAAGGCCCAAGGAGGTTCACAAAAACCATTGGAGTGGCTTGGTGCTAACAAAGCTGTCTTTTCATACTGACTCAATTATGTTGAACAAGTGTAAGGTGACTTTTCTAGAACTGATGCCTATATTAGGTTATATATATGTGTATATATATTTTGCAGTGTTACAGTACAGTATGGGAATACGGCCTTACTAGCCTTTACACTTTATCCACAATGTAAATAAGCATTTGTTTAATACAGGTGAAAGATATATACAGAAAATTCAAAACTTGAACTCTATAAACAAAAAAAAAACTCGTGTAGAAAGTTCTGATAAATGTGAAAGTATTTAGCTCTGTGTATTGAGAGTAGTATATTTTTTATCTGTGCAATGCTGTGTGCAGGCCACCAGCTCATAAGACATTTCCTATATATACACACTTCAAGTGGTTTGAAATTCTTTACTCAGGATCTTTGATGCTCTGAAGAATTAGTAGTTTGTCAACCTGCATGCTTGTTGAGGAGAAGCCTTTTTAAAGCAGCCAAAACCCCACAGCCCAGTAGTATCAGTTCTAGTGGTATATCTGAGCTGTTACACTCGTGCTCCCTTATTTCATTAAAATATTTGATTTTATATTAACTAAACTTCATAGTAATTTCTTGAGAGCTCTGCCACTCTGCCTACTCATAAAGAAAGAAGAAATCTGGTGTTGAATTGAAGGGATGTAACAAATTGTAGAAGACTAATGGCTAACCTGAGTTGCTGTACTCTGAGCATAGATGCAGTAGATGCTGTGCTGGGGCCATCCTGGAGGGGTGGGCTGAAATCAGGTGCTCTTGTTCACACCTTACAAGCTGTCTGTAGCTCTTCCTAGGAGCCTTGCCTGCTTTTCATCATCTTTTCTGGAGGAACATGGGATTCATGAGAGGTTTCAGTGCTCCTAATGGGAGTTACTACTTTTACAGTACAGTTACCTGTCCTAAATGCATCATCACTCGCTTCAGTAGGCGACCCTGTTTCTTATTGTGGGGAAAGATTAATTATTCTCTGGACAGCTTGCAGTGGTAATTGTCATTCTGTGAGTCTCCACCTTGTTTCTGATTACATGTCAGCTGAGAAAAGGCAACAGAGTGAGACAGGCAGCTGATTCAGGAAGGGCTCTGGAGTTCCAACAGAATGCTGCTGTGGAATGTAATGAGGAAGTCAGAGTAGGAGAGGGATGGGAGTGAGAAGCTGTGCTGGCTGGTTCCAGCCAGAGTCGCTCCCTGTTTAATCTGTTCCTGCATCAGCAAACTCTATGCTTTATCTTGACCTCTGCACACAGATGGAAACTAATGTTTTCATACCTGGCTTGCCAAGTGATTCATTGAGTAGAAGTCAAAGTATTAAAGTAGTTAAGACTTATTGCAGTACAAAAAGTGACTTAGATCTATCCTTAAATGTCTCTAATAGAAACAAACAGAAGTGTTTTAATCCTTCCTACGTGTTTATTACTTGGAGGAAGTGTTTCCCTGCTCAATTACTTCCTTCTGCTCTGGATGCTTCCCAAAACACCACTTGCTCTGCTTCTGAGGTAGGCAGCAGAGAGGAGATGAAGGTTCACAGCTGCAGCTTCTTCCAGAATGACTCTTGGAGGAATTACCTGAGCTGAGTGTCACGTCTGCTGGCTATCAGTGTGGCTGCCATCCAGCACAGCCAAGGATAAAGGTAGGAGCTGGGCTATGTGCTACTTTCTATCTGAACACTGTGTCACTTTGCATAAAAATCAGCAGCTGTGCCTTAGGAGCTGTGCTTGTGTGCAGTGCTGAATAAATGGTGTCCCTTAGCCTGCAGAGGAAAAAAAAAAATAAGGGAGCAAGTGTGTGTATGTTTGTCCATTGAAGTGGTTTGGTTCCAAAACAAAAGGGATTATATCACAGCATTAAAGGACATCCTGTTCTAGGAGGGAACAACCTGTCTTCACCAGCAGAAAGCCTGAAACAGATAGCTACACAGAATGTCTTGGCAGGGAGGCAGGGGTTGTGAGAAGATGCTCAGAGCAGCTAGAGGAAGTGTAGAACAGAGCTGTTGCAATGCCAGGGCTGAGTCATAGGCAGGAGTAGGTGCACCTCCCTGAGCCAGGTGTGCCTGTCTCACCTCCTGGTGACGTGGCTGAGCCTAAGGACAAGCAGTGCTGCTTTACTTTGCTCCAAGACCACAGTGAAAGACTTCACCACGTGTGTTTAATAGCTCTAGGGAAGCTTACATGCAAGTAGTTTTACTGCCTCGACCGTGCTGAGGGCTCACAACTGCTGTGTGTCACAATTCCTGGATAGCAATGCCACGTGTTCATAACCTGCTGAAAACTTGGTTCCAGAGCTGGGATTTGAGCTCTTTGCAGTGGTCTCAGCTTAACAAGCGTTTTAATTAAATCCAGGTTTCTTACGTTAGCTTTTAGGTTAGGCCCCTGCAGTTGATATCAAAATAACTGATGCTGATTTACAAAAACCCACGGATCAGAACTTGGGTGTCCCCATGACTTAACGTGCAGCTGACACAGCTCAATTTCATCAACAGTGGCTCTGGTCCTCTTGTACACTGATGAGTAACTGGATAACAAGCATAGCTGCTCTCTAGGAGATTACAGAGCTGTGATTCATGAGGATCTGCTTGTCACCACTTCAGGAAGACTTGTTACGAGAACAGCTATGTTGGGAAAGTGTGAGAAGATGGGGGTGAGGTTCCACTTCTGCTGGGAGCTTCCCCTTTGCCCACCCAGCTCACTGCATGGGCCTCAGGAGCACGGCCAGCTGTGCTGCAGATGGGGCAGCTTCAGATCTTCCATTGGCTTTGGAAGATGATGGCAGCAGTTTGTGGTAGGATGGCTGTTCTTTGTGTTCAGCTTTCTAGAAGCTGTTCAGAGTGAACTCTGCTGACCCAAAGGCAGCGGATTAGAGATTGAAAGTCATTTAGACAGAGGGAGTGGTGGCTTTAAATGTTATTTTTTTTCTTGTTTGTCTACAGATCCACAGATCATAATAATGGCTTACAGTTCTGCAAACACTGCAGTTATCCTGATAATCAGCTGGAAAAAGTGCCAGAGACCTGCAAAAAAATGCACCCTGAAAGGTGACCAACAGGAGCTGTATGAATGGAGTTGACTCAAATGTAGAAGCAGCAGGTAGCAATTACTTAACAGTGTTGCTTCACCAGAAGAAAAAAAAACGTTCTCCCCATTGTGCTGTGATGCAACTGTTCCTTGAGTCGCCAGGCAACCCTTGTTTTTATTGTCCTTGAATGCGGGTGAGAAATTGCTAAGCGAAGCAAATCTGCATTTGGTGTCTGCATCTCAGGTTGAGCTAAACGGCATAACAAAATGGTGCCCTGTTAGACTGCGGGTGACGGAGCTGAAATCTTCCAGAGCTTCCAAATCTGATTCCTCCTGAAGGAACCAGCTGTTAGCAAGCAGAGTTTGGTTAAAAACCTTGGCAGAAAGAGCTGCGACGACCCCCATTGTCTTCAGTGAGATCTGACCCTTTCTGATGTCTAAATACAAATGAGTGAGAAGCTACTCGGAACCCATGGCTGTAGCCCTTTTGGTGAGAGTCAGCTGCAGTGCAGCATGTGGCTTTTGTCCCCTGCTCTGTAGCTCAGTGACCTTAAGCTGTGTCCTTTCCCCTCTGCCCCCTGGCAGCTCGGTGCAGCCCGTTCTGCTTGCTGCTTTTGATGGGCATTCTCAGACTTATCAGGAGAAAGAGCAATTTATGATGGATGTTGCCCTCGTGGTTTGTTTGTCAAGTGCTTTGCGTGTTTATGGTGCCATAAAAAGGCACAGCCATAATTAAACACAACATACTTTGTATTTAAAACTTTACCAGTGGACAAACTGTGAGTCTGTTAAACCTTGGCCTCCGTTTCCTTAATGCTCAGGAGCTGCTGTGCTGCAGGCAGGGAGCAGATGGGCTGTGCTGGCTGTAAGGAGTGTGTGCATCAGGTGTAAGTATCAGCCATGGCTTTCTGCAGTAACATTACAAGATAGTGCAAGGGATTTCTTATCCCTCAAGCCCTTAGACACAAAAGGTGGTGATTGAGATGCAAAAGGTGGTGATTGCAAGCAAAGCTTCTTGCTCAGGGCTTTTATCTTTGTGTAGAAGGCAGTGACTGATATGTGAGTACCATGCCCTTTTCTTGAGCTCTTCTACATCTCTTGCAACAGCATTTTTGTCTCATTCGAGGAAATGGGGCTGACTCATGGGTCTTTTGGGTTCTTGCAAGGAAGCTGAACTGCTTACTGTTCAGTAATCTTTGTTACTGAGTTTTCCAAGTATAAAGGGAGACGATGTTCCTGGCATGTATCAAAATGAACTTAATGATTTTAAAGCGTGACTTACAAAGCCTTTCGATGGAGAAATTAGAGCAGCGTAATACTAACAGATGGAACTGAAAGCCTTTGTATACAGCTGGGTGGATAAACGTGTGCGGGGAAAGCATTGCCTGAGCACTGAGGGTTTATAGCACAGGAGGAGCTTTCCCATAATGCAGAATCAATAGTCAGATCGTGCCGCTGCGGGCTGTACAGGCACCTATGGCAGCAAGCTGGGCTGGCCGGAGCTGGAGGTTGAGGTGGTGCCGGTTAGAAGCGCTTCTGTTCTGCCTTTCCCTCCGTGCTGGAGCAGAGATTTCACCGTTGTCCATCCTCGTGCAGCAGATGGGCAAACCTCCATCCTGGGGCGGGGAGCGAAGGGGATCCCGGTGCCGCCGGGCGGGGCGGAGGGGGGGGAAGGGGGGCGGATCCGGGGCTCGGTGCCGGCTGTGCGCCGTGCAGGTTTAAGAACCGCGTGGGGCTGCGGTGGGAACAGAGCGAGCCGAGCAGAGCAGCATGGCCCAGCCGCGCTGCCGCTCCGTGCTCATCACCGGCTGCAGCCGCGGCATCGGGCTGGGGTTGGTGAAGGGGCTCGCTGCCTCCGATCCCCCCCCGGAGGTCGTCTTCGCTACGTGCCGCTATCCCGATAAGGCGCAGGTAAGCGGGCTGGAGAGGGTAGGGGGGGATGCGGGATGGAGCCGGGGCTGCTGGGGGCTCCGAGAACGGAGGGACGATGAGTTGCTGCCCGCTGGGTGTCCGCTCCTGGGAGGGAGGAAGGCGGCAGAGCGGCTCGTCGGGCTCAGCTGGAGATGGGTGCTGCCCCAGGAGCCTTCGCACGGATATCCCTTACGGCTCCCCCGTGCCTTCTGCACTGTGCATCCGTTCTGTCTTTCCCCGTCTTTCCCCGTTCCATGCTGGACTTGCAACAAGTCCACAACCAACTTAAATACTGTCCTTAGGCAGGGATCGGTGCCTTCTGCCCGTTGCTGCTGCGTGTCGCTGGGGATTTCGTTTACCTGCCTTTTTCTCTGCAATATAGCAGCGGCTTATTCGCACCCCTCCTCCCCTCTTCTGTCCCCAGGCTGTTGTATGTAACTGCCAGACAACCCAACCTGCGGGGACAAGCTGATAGCAGGTTATCAGCCTGCTTCACCCCGTGCTGCTCCAGCCCGATCTTGGCAATCTGTGGTGAGCAGAACGCTGCCAGGGCAGCTCTGCACTCAAAGCATCATCCTCTGCCTTTCCCAGAAAAGATCTGGTGCTGCAGAGCTGGGAGAATCTGAGCTCTCAG